GTTAAATTTGTCTCGCTTCAGCGTCTTCTTCTTCTCCTGGCTCTTCTGCTTGCAGCAGCACTTATGGTCTTAAACCTCTTATTTAGGTGGATTGTTGTGCTTTCTTTAAGTGTTATGTGCTTTGGCTCGTTAACCCACATAAATAAGATGTACATGACATAGCCTTCTACATGTTTATAAACATAAGAACACACATACGGACGTACGCACACATACACACACATGTTCTTAAATGCTAATACTGGCAAATACCAGTGTAGTATCATTTTGAATGTTTAACAATTATATGTGAGCAACTGGATTTGTAGAGTAGAAGATAAAAGTGTGATGAAAGATATGGAAATTACAGAACCAAGAAAATATTTCATTATCAAATAATGAGTGTGAATCGCTGATTTCCGCTATATTTGGAGATACCAGACTCATAATCCAACAATTTAGAGTTATTCGCAGTATTGTTTCTCTATAATTCCATTATTTCAGCATTGACCTCATTTTTCATTTTTATACCCTCCACAATAGTATGGAGGCTGTATTAAGTTTTTCATTTCATTTGTAACATCTCGAAATATACATTTTCGAATCCACAAAGCACATATATATATTCTTGATAAGCATAAAATTCTCAGTAGATTTCGCGTCTGTCTGTCAGTGCAAATCACTCTAGCTTCCGAACGAAATAAAGTAAGTTGATAAAATTTTACTCAAATATGTATTATGTCTGCAGGACTTTTGGTATTGAAAATGGGTCATGTAGGTCCACGTTTTGGCCACCATATTTCGGTGTATTTTCGGTATTTTGGTGATTTAAGCGACATAATTACTTTCAAACTCCGCGTATCTCAATATTTCCATCTACACAATATCTGACATGAAGATAAAACATATAGGTCCACTTTATCTGGTACTTCCTCAACAAAAAAAAAAAAAAAAAAATAATAATTATATAAAAATGCGAAATAACCTCCAGATTTTCTTATAACTTGCGAAAAAAGTTTGCAATTATTTTGAAATTTGGTTAATCTGAATATTTCTCTTAATCAGATACCTGATGTGAATATGGAATTTTAAAAAATGTTAAGAATTGCATAAACTCTTATTCGCCTAAAATGGGAAATTAATGTGCGATTTTCTTCAAATTTTCCACATCAATATATTTTTTCAATATAATACAATGGAATACTTCGGTCCACTATATTTGGTACCTCACATATATCTCAGTACTTTCCAAAAAAATATATATTCTTTATCTCATAACGAAAATTGGTTGAGTTTATATATCTGTTGAAAATCGACTGATACTTTTCAACTTGTTTTAAATAATTGTAATATGACATACAGGTTCTCAAAGGATATAATAATTTCCTGCGAAAAAAATCCAATTAAGCTCCGCTACAAGTTATATCTCGATGTTGAGATGCCATTTAGTTATCTGGTGTTTCGAAGATTTCATTTTTATTTAATATTCGTTTCCTAACTCTAGAGTTGTATCAATCTAATTATTGTACAAAAACGTATGAGTGATCAAATAAATTCCATATATCACTCATACGCCCTTTTATTTGTCTGCGTAAACATTTCCTCACTACTGTTACCTTGTCCATACATGCTTACATAGTCTTTACCATGCAATCTGGTAAATCTTTAACTTTTCTCCAATACAACATTGGTCGCCAGGTTGCCTTATCTTTGTTGTATATTTTCAGGTACCAGAATCCCTGTCGTCTGTGGCTGATTATAAACGTATTAGGGTTGGAACATGTTATTGCTTTTCCGTTTCTTCGGTGGGAATACATTTCAGTTCGTTTGTCTATATTGCTGAACGTTTCTCGGGTTTTTTTTCATGTTCTACGACACATTGCTAAACATGTGCCGTCGTGTATCGTCATCGTCATCCATTTGAGGTAGCAACATTGGCTGTGGCTGATGACGATGACGACGGTGTGTTTCCATACCAACACAACAACAACAGCAAGAATACAACGTTGCATTATTGCTCTTTGAAAGCCTTGAGGTTAAATAAGGTTGTCACTTCTTATGATTGTCAAGTGAGGCTTTTACACCACAAAAGATTTACTTAGCTTGCTGTTGTTGTTGTTGCTGTGCAACAAAGGTTTTTCTGTATAAACAAGAAATATTTTTGGTTGAAATAAAATATGTATTCCGAAGGCTATGAAAAGTGTGAATGTTATGCAAAAACAAATTGCATTTGGGGGGGGGCAAAATATGGTGTAGAGAAGAGGGGAAATAATTTGAGAGCTTAACCCATAGTAATGTAAGGGCACTTTCAGATGACACTCTTGCACTTGGTGAAAAGCTCTAAACGGATGTCAGTTTTTAGGGATTCTGGGTTAAATTTTTTATTTATTTTATTTCAGCGAGAAATTTATTTTTATTTTTTTCATTCTGAAATAAAGTATCTGTATTGCTTCTAATCTCGTGTCACAACTCGGTTGAGAAAAAAATAGCAACATCGCCTTTTCCAAAGAAAGTCATAGTTTTAAGTCCATACATGTATAAACTGAGAGTAAACACTCAAATGTCTAGATGTTCATCGAACATTTTTAACTTTTCAATAAGAATGTGATCCGATATCGCCTCTAGGAGAAAAAAAAAATTAAATAAATCCAAATCGTCCAGAAATTTTACCAAAACCATTAAAGTTTCAAAAATTTCGGAATTTCGTTATATGGAGGATGTGACTGAACCATTGACACAGTCAGTGGAGCAAAGGGAGATCAGATCCTACAGCCAAAGTAGTAAATTTTTAGATATTTTCTGAAAAGTTTGCTTGAAAAATCTAATTTTTGGTTGCACTTCTATGTGCATTGGTGATAAGGACCTCGTACTATTGAAAAAAATTTATTGTCAACCGCGATAGATGGCCTGTCAAAAATTGTAACATGTATGCCATACTTTTTTGACGCACCACAAATTCTTCGAAAAACTAGGCAAATGACACGAGTTTTTATACCCTCCACCATGGTATGGGAGATATTTTAAGTTTGTCATTCCGTTTGTAACACCTCGAAATATATATTTTAGATCCAACAAAGTATATATATATATTCCTGATCAGCATAAAATTGTGTGTCGATTTAGCGATGTCCGTCGGTCTGTTCGACTGTGGAAATCACTCAAGCTTCCGAACGAAATAAAGTAGGTTGATAAAACTTTACTCAAATGTATATTATGTCTGCAGGACTTTTGGTATTCAAAGGTCCACGTAGATCTGGCTGGTGCGTATAGCCCTCATATAACGGTACCTCCCAATATTCGGTATTTTGATGATTTTAGCGAAATTATTCACCGGAAATGTTTGTAACTTGGTATTTTAAGTTCATAATAGATACTTAAGCTTATGACAGAAAATTCTCTGTGCAGGTCCCCGCCTTCGTATAGCCCCAACATATTGGTACCTCCCGATATTCGATATTTTGGTGATTTTGGCGACATTATTAACCGGAATTGTTTCAAATTTGGTATTTGAAGTTCGTAATGGATACTACAGCTTATGACAGAAGAATATCTGTGCGGGTTCACGTCTTCCTATAGATCCCATATAACGGTACCTCCCGATATCCAATATTTTGATGATTTTAGCGACATTATTCACCATTTTTTTTAATTTTCGGATTTGAATATTGTAATAGCTTATGATTAATGTGCCTATGTAGGTCCATATCGTCGTATAGACCCTAATATAACAGCTACATTCGATATTTAGAAGATTTTTAACGGATTTTATTTATTTATTTATTTATTTTATTTTTTTTTTTTTTGAAAAAAGCTAAATTCGTTTCAAATTGTGGGGGTATTCAAAGTTCGGTGTTTTCCATAAATTTCATAAATAGCAGGCTTATGTTTAGTTGATTTAGAAGTTAGAATGACAACCCATTAGCGCGGTTGCTAGGGGCTCAGGTCTTCATCCAAGACATTATCAAGGTCTATACAAGCTATAAGACTATATAAGGAAACTATCATGAATATAGTCATCGAGGTTATAAAAATACGACCTAAACATTTATGACGATTTTTTTATGTTTTATACGAATAATTTACGTTTTCGATGTCTAAAATCAAAAAAATTCTCAAATCGACCATATATTTACATACCACATGATCTTGTGTTCTCTCTTCTAAATGCAATTGCCATTTTCATTTCCAAATCCTAATTTGATGTTTTACATTTAATGCCTACTTGCTCAATTGCCCTAAATACGTGTTTGCATTTTTGATGATATCGCTTTTAAGGCATTTAAGACTGACTGATGTATGTATGTATGTGTGTGTGCGTTTGTGTGGGTGTGTTTAATATATAATGGATTTTTAATATCTAATTTACAACATTCAAGTAGTTCATAAAATAATAAGGCAAATGCATGGCAGATAACTGGCAATACCAAAAATTGATATATGCACACACACACACACATTACACATCCATCTGTGTGTGTGTGTGCAATGAAATGGTTTAGAATTGGCAAATTCCAATTGTAATAAAATTCAAAGGAAATGTCGCCTTTGTTGATAATGAATATTTAACGATTACAAAACTCATTTCCTTTGCAACATTTTCATTTCAATTATAACATTTTCCTCCGGGCCATGTAATTGAAAAAGACAAATAAACATGGATGCATGAGTGTGTGTGTGTGAGGAATGTTAGAAGCAAACATGGGCATGTACACACTTTCACACACACTAGCATGTCAAACTACATTTGAATATTTTAACACGAAATTAAACAAACTCAATTGAATAAATATATAAAATATAATTATATATGCACACACACACCCCCTGGATGCCACCAAATGCATTCATAATGAACCACAAAATGTTTCTAGCTTCGAATAGGTTGCAGTGTAATTTCAATAGTTTATAATTAACATGTGCTTAACAAACAAAGACTGGCTGCAGTATTTAAATATCTTTTAGTATTTATTCATTTATAATTTACGGAAGTTAATGTTGGGAATTCCAATTTCCATTTGCAGATACAGCGACATGTACACAAACCCCATAAAGGCCACCAATATGGAACATCGAGATGTCGTCTTGGATATATTGTCCGATGCTCGTGTGGTCGGTCCTTTGTTGCAGACCGGTCTATTCCATGCTGAGGTGAATCGTCGAAATTACATGTACGTGTTCGGTCACAACAGCTTCGGAGGACCTCATGCCAGTGTAAGTATATATTATGGAATTTATTTTTAATTTACTCTGTATTCAATTATATCTCTTTTGTGCGATTCGATCGCTCGATGGATGCTGTGTGATTGGAAGAAAGATAGGCAGACAGACAGATGATGTTGTCAATGAATTCAATGAAATCTTTCATCAAAGTCAAACAAAATCAGTTGGATGTCAATATTTTCCGTTAACATTTTCATTTTACGCATGTTGACTGCATGTTGTGCATAGCGAATAGATGGATGAGATCAGAAAGGAATTAAAATGGAAAATTTGAAATGGGAATGGTGGAATAATGTTTTCCAAGAAGAGAAAATTGTATGGTCTTATTATGAATCGGACTGGATATTTCCTCAAGGTTAAATGCGTTTTCACTATAGTGAGGCTTCCTGAGCTGTCTAGCATTTCTCGTGAATACATGCCCAAAATAAAAGAACCTCACATTTCTCTTCAGCGTAATTATGCAGTAAGCTCTAACTTTATTCCTGGAACCATTATTCAAAAATAGGAAAGGCTTTATATGAAGTGTACAAAATAACTTTCGAGGATAAGGAGTTTGACATGAGCATTTCTCATTTTTATCGCCGAGCTTAGAGAGTTTTTATGCAATTTAAGATTTTCCCAAATGTTAATTATTTATCGAGCAATAATTGTCCTTTATATGAGAGCAATTTTTATGTAAAATTTGTATCCATTGGGGGGAGGCGGACATGACATGAACACAATTTAAATATCACGATACGCCGAGTAAGATTTATGAATTTTCCACATTTTTAACACTTTGTAGGGGATATACTTTGAAAAGTATCAGATTTTGTGGGAGTTATGCTTATGTAAATTGCATACCCTTTGTAGAGGTGGTATGAAGGGGTGCGAACCAATATATCAGTTCTCACTTATTTTAGCAAAAATATTGGAATGCGTTAAGTTGTAATAGGGAAATAAGCTTGCATTTTATCAGAGTCCTTCCACTTTTTTTGGGTGCGGGATTGAGCCCATACAAACTCAAATTGATTATTTGCTTTAATTTTTGAGGGAGAGAGAGAGAGTACGATCTGTTTAATTTTGACGACTTAAGGGAGTAGGTACAAGATCGATTTGTTTCATCCTCATCCCATATAGCGTTGATAAACGTATTGTAGAGCTTAGAAATGTTATTGACTTATAGTGGGCTTGGAGTACCAGAAGACTGATTTTTCCGACTTCAAACCTGACCCTAATTTTGTACAAATATGTACGAAGTTTTAAAAAAATTTGAAGAGTGTCTAGAAATATTAAAATTTTGAAATGGCTCCTGGTTTTGTACGTGTACTCTACAGTAGACGGCATTCGGATCCATCTACTCTACAATAGAAGGTCTTCGGACCCATCTACTCAAAATTAGACGGCCTGTGATGGCACACCCGTTTGCAGTGGAGTGATGCCAATCCCCCAATTAGTCGCGGAGCCAAGAACGTCACCGACTATTTTGTGGAAAAGGGGTGGTGACCTAAAGTTCGGAAGGCCCACGAAAATGTCATGCACATTTTAGTGGGGGCCAGGACGGACCGCAAAAAAATAAAATATAAAACAAGTTAAAAAGTAGTAGTTGGGCCGGGCCGATCTTTGATTACCCTCCACCATTTGGGACGAATTTGGAAATTTTCAAAAAATAAAATCCCTTAAAAATTTTGTTAAAATCTTTAAAATGCTGAATACAGCCGTTAAATTGGGGTCTATACGACGTGGACCTACATAGGCATTGTTTGTCAGAAGCTATTACCATAATCAAATTCGAAACTTGAAATAAACGCTGAATAATGTCGCTAAAGTTGTCAAAATACCGAATATAGGGAGATACCGTTATATCGGTGCTATACGAAGACCTGGATGTTACAACCTGTGACAATTTTCTGTCACAGGTTGTAACATCCATTACGGACGATAAAATCATCAAAATATTGTGAGGTACCGTTATATGGGGGCTATAAGAAGACGTGGATCTGCACCGACAATTTCCTGTCTTAGGCTGTAGTATTTATTTCGATTTTCAAATACAAAATTTGGAACAATTCCGGTTAATAATGTCGCTAAAATCGCAAAATTTTAGCCTTCTATTTCAAGTGGTTTGAAAGCGAGATTACAACAGACAGACGGACAGATAGACCGACAGACGGACGGACATCGCTAAATCGACTTAGAATTTTGCGCTGATCAAGAATATATGTTCTTTGTTGGGTCTGACATAAGTATTTCGATCAGTCACAAATGGAATGACAAAGTTAATATACCCTCCATAGTATGGTGGAGGGTTTAAAAAATGGATTCTGAGCGAAAGGGTTCCATAGTTGGCGCACTGTAAAACCGAATGTGATAGCTCAAATGTCCAGAAATCAAAAATCCTGTTGTGGTAGGTCCTGACTGAACTCAGTTCAAAACCAAAGGATGTAAAGTGAGTTAGATTACTGAAACCCCCTCTCATGACATGTGGAGTGTGCTCAAATTTTTTCCTAGCAGATAAGGATACACCATAATATGCAAATTATAGCTAGTTCTGTTGGAAACTGTGTTTAAGGCTTTTAAAATGTCGAACTTGGGGAGGTCACGCCATAGTGAAGCCTTCAATAGATTTGAAATCAGCTGAAGCCGTCATATTAGAATTTTCAAAACATTGAATTCTTTTCAATTATATCCGATAAGTCAAATTATAGTTGAATTATTGCCGCTGAAATGTTTATAAATAAGGTAGTATATTTCTATATTTTCAATATTTTGGCATAATCCCTAAAATATGAGGCATATACTATTAACATTTTTAATAACAATAATTCAAAACATAGTAAAAACTGCTGTCTCAAATTTAAATCTGCACACAAAATAGTGTTAACTTTGTCCTAAATCATTAAATATACTTAGAAGTTTGTGGCCATCAATTTGTAGGATTTTCGAGGAAAATATATTACAATATATTTAACAACTTCCTTTTTTAATATTGTGTTTTCAAGTAAATACTTAATATTAAAAACATTTTGTATATTTCTCCGGAAAATATATTTTACATAAAATTAAATTTTTGTATTAGTTTTTTGCTTTTTTTTTCTGCGAATCATGGCTACATAATAAACTCTTAGTTTCTCAAGAAGAGAAAACAAATTTAAAAATTTTCATAAATAGATTTTTATATTTTCATTATTAATATTTTTTTGAGTTTTGCCTTGTTAAGGCGAAGATCATATGTTTTATGATTTATGTGTTTGTTTTCTCTTTCGAGACGAGCTTAATGATCTGAAATTTGCAGTGAAAAGGAAAGCCAGATAGACACTATCACACACTCACCACTATGCGACGCGTTTCGCCGTTGGTTAAGCGGCTCATCAGGCATATTTGGTGTGGATGATGGCTTACAAGGGCCGTTCTCTGGAAAGTAGTATATATTTCGAACATATTGCAAATTAGCATATGAGAATTATACACTAGAAACTCTCCAGGTTCGACTCAAGTTCTATTGGCAGATCTTTTTCACAGCAATATCTTTTTTTAGAAATATCTAAAATACATTTTACGATATAATAATTTTCCTCGAAAAAAAAAAATGTCTGATTCAATCAAGTAAATACACTTATGTTCATCCAAGCCATGGTAGCTTTCAATTTCATTAGACACATTGTTTGGCTGTATATTTTAAGTAAATTATCATAAAATCGGCTTTGGTGCTTATTTTTATAAGAGCAGCATTTATTGCAATATATTTTGCCATTTTTTCACTTAAATCCTTCTTACATTCAGATGTTTTGCACATATGTTTTATGTTTTCATACAGCGAGACCCAAACACACCGAGACACATATATTATTTTAAATCTTTTGTCCTGGGAAGGAAGCAACATGCAATATTACATATGTGTCTGTATGTATGTATGTAGGTATGGCATCAACGAAGGACAACCAAAAATCCGTATATTACTACTACCTACATAAGTGTGTTAAATCTTGCTGCCTGAAGGCTTGCTGCGAGGTTCGCGCCTTACTTTCGGTTGTATTGCAGGAAACACCAACAAAAACAACACAACCCACTTGTCAGACGAGCACTTTACGTGCCCTCGAATTCATTCATTCGATGGCAAGCATGAACTTACTGCCATATTTGCTTAAACGCGAAGAGTGAAAACAAAATCGTAATATTTATCAATTGAAATTAAAAACGAACAAAGGCTTGTAATCGATGAATATTTATCATGGCGATCTTTATTCACACGTGCTGTGCGCCTCGTTCTCAATAATTCAAACAAAGCGAAAGCGATTGAAAATTAAGCAGTTTTTTTTTTCTTGTAATTCATTGTACGAGTTATTTACTAGAGGAATATTTCTTTCATTCTTGGAAAAAAGTAAAAAAATCAAAAATAAAAACGAATTCAAAGGAACCAAGGCAATTAATACTTGAGCATAATTTATTAATTATTTCGTCCCTTGTAATAAAGAGGAAAAAAATTTAAATTCTGAAGAAATTCTCTATATGTGTTTGCGGGTCAATTAACTGATATATATATGCCGATATTTTATTTTTTTTCGCACAAATTGTGATAAAAATATGTATATCAATGAGCACAGTCTCAACATCTGTCAGATAAATTAAAAAATAACTTACTATCTTAAGTAGAGCTTCGAACATTTTCACATCAGTTTATATTGTGTCGAAAATGGTGGATATTGAAAAAAGGCTACCTCGGTTCAAGCTTAGTATTATGAATGTTTCGGCCTTTATTTATAACGCAAATGCCTATAATTTGACATCTTGAAAAGGTGGGTACATTAACTTTGTCATTCCGTTTGTAACATCGCTAAATATCCGTCGCAGACCCCAAAAGTATATACAGGCTGAGATGAAAAAACTACAACCAACTTTAGACTGCTGACATTTCTAAGCCACTCGTCCGACAGCTGTTAAAATTATTCCAGTGACAGCTCATTATATTTTTTACAAGCGTACAGAAGTATTTTGGTGAGAATTTTCCAGAA